CTCTCTCTCTCTCTCTCTCTCTCTCTCTCTCTCTCTCTCTCTCTCTCTCTCTCTCTCTCTCTCTCTCTCTCTCTCTCTCTCGTACGCACGCTGGTGCACCTGCATGCACACTCCCGTGTGGGCATGTGTGGGGCATGTACACGGACGTGGGCATGTGCAGAGCATGCATGTGAGCACACAACACAAACACATGCATTTGGTCCGTCCGCGTATGCGCATGGGTATGGGTGTGGCAATGCGCAGGGTATGCGTGCGTGTGTGGGCAAACAATCCAAACACATGGATTTCATCCATGTTCATGCGCATACAATCAAACACATGCATTTTGTCCGTCCTACTCAGTTCGTGCAGTAGATACACTCCTCCATTGCTATCTGAAAAGCTATTTAACAACATGGAGAGCCTGAGCAATTCCCGTCCACTTTCAGTCTTCTCCCCCATTTATACATTTGTCCTCACATCTCCCCAACCTCCACATAAGCTGTACCAGGAGAAGACCAAAACCCTCTTGCCAACTAGAACGGCCGCCAAAACCCTCTCGACGCTTCATTTCCATGCGAGGGAACTGAAACTCAGAAGGAGTGTACAACGCGCGCACGCGGGTTTCATGAAGTCCTTTCCTCTCGCCCGTGGCCTGTTTCCTGTGCTCTCCTACTGTCGTGTTTCAACCTCCCAATTTGATTCTAATCCTGGACTTCTGCATTGACAGAATACCACAATCTCTGGCACTTGAACCGCAAGTATCTACAAAACCGCCCAACGAAGTGTTCAATACCAGCAAACGAGCCCCCTTTCCGTCATCGTCTCTCTTCGTTACTCTCTCCTCTCCTGGCACTCTTTGCATAGCACCTGATTGCCACGCACCCATCTACACGAGCAAGAGTGACAAGGATGCCAGAATACTTTCAGCAGAGAAACGGAGCCGACCACCTGTCGGCCTTCAGGACAGCCTACCTGCTTCCCGCATACTTCCCATACGACCCAAGCCGAGCTGCCAAGTCTCAGGATGCCCCATCTGGGACGCTCAGGCCAAGTCGTCAGGCCCACGTTTCACACACTGCGTTTCCTTGTGTGTCAGCAGCTCAGATCATTGTCAATGTCCGGGGAGAGACGCCGTTTCCTTCCACGTGACGAAGTTCCAGGCCCTGCTGCCACGTGGGGATGAAGCTAGCGACGACGACACAAAGCACTCAAATGCAGTGTAGAATGAGGATGACCAAACCAACGCCCCTTACATGCGTCTAAATGCAACACTATATGTAGTGTACATACGCGTTGCAATACTCAGTATGGGGGGCAACAAGTCGAGCTCGCGCACTCGGTCCCCTTACTCACGAAAGAGCTCCTCGACCTTTTCGGTACAAGCGCGAAAACACCACGAAAAACACTTCACGGAGATCGTGGCCACGTGTAGCCGTGTATATCAACCCCAATGCCAGTAACCTCGCTTCCGTCCTTCGTTCACTTTCCGCCCATACATCAACGCGCAATTCCTGTCACACGCCACGCACCATGCACTTGAGGAAAAACTAGACCTCAACTCGCTCCAAGAACCACCGGTCACAAATGGCGGCCTCTCTCTTCCTCTCCCTCCTTGTCCCACGCTCTGCTCCGCAGAAGTGCAGAGTAAAAAGCTTATCTGGAAGCGCATCCGAAGGGCACAGTTTAAACATAAAGTGTGCGGACCTCGATATGGGCAAAGACGGGACAAGGGTCGGAGATGGGAGGCAATCCAGCGGCAAACAACTCCTTTCTCACAGCAGCCTGCCTCTCTCTCTCTCTCTCTCTCTCTCTCTCTCTCTCTCTCTCTCTCTCTCTCTCTCTCGCTCTCTCGCTCTCTCGCTCTTGCTCGCTCGCTCGCTCGCTCGCTCGCACGCACCCACAGAAAAACACGGCTATGCTTGCCAACCCGCCTCCGCGCCCCGTCGGTAAACAAACGCACGTTGGCACAGACATACAAAGATCGGACAGGAAATGTAAACAGAAAAGGCAAAAATCATCAACCATATTCATTCCCTCCTACGAATCCCGCAGACAGCTGGATCACTTGGACATAATCGAACCGGACAAGTGGTAGGCGAGAAGAAACGGGCAAATCGCGCTGATATGCTGCTATATGCCTTGGCCACCCTCTTCATCACGGAGAAACAAGGAAGAAGATCGACTAACGGGCGAGATAGATTGTATGTCCACATCAGAGAGAGCGAGACAGAGTCATGATAGATACAGTAAGCATCCATATACGAGCGAAAGAGTGCACTACGAACTCACAAAACCTCTTTGCAGGCCGCGGATATCAATCGGCTTGAGCTGAACTGCGCGGCGGAACCTCTCTCTCTCTCTCTCTCTCTCTCTCTCTCTCTCTCTCTCTCTCTCTCTCCCCCATCCTTTAGCTGCCAATCAGTAGAAAGCTTTCCCGTGAATCATCAAGCGAAAGGTAGCCTCACATCTCGCACGTTGATTACCTGATAGAAGAAAGCCGCTCGTCCACAGCTCATGTTTAAACGTAGAAACAGGTTAACTTAAACTGCCCATACGTACCCGGGAGAGGCAGAGAGCTCTTTCAATGTCATATATGCGGATACTTGGTCCAAGCTTCTCAGCAGCAGCACCTGCCAATCCATCGCCCGCCAGCCGTGAGAATCAGACAGCGAGAGATCCGTCCACAGAGAGACAGAAAAAGGAGAGAAACGCGCATCATCCGATACCCCGCGGAGAAGGGAAAAAAAAGGGTAAAACCTTCCCCCCCCGCTCTCGCGGCGAAAGTGCCGATGTCAATTTCGACAGGAAAGGATGGCGGCCCGTGTCCGTTGGCTGACAGCTAGACGAGGCATGCCCTAAATCAGCTCTGGATCCCCTGCGTGTCACCTTCCATTCTCCAAAAGAGTTAATTTCGCAAAACACCCCCTCCAAGGACGGGGCCACACACTTGGCGCCGAAAATCCGTTATAAATGTGCGCACCCTCCCGTGCCACTTCTCCCTGACTCCAGAACGAGGAAACAGCCGCTCAGTATAAGCCTCTCAACCCCGCTCATAGACTCTCTCGTCGTCGTCGTCGTCGCCTTCCCCCTCTTCCCACTCCTCCAAACCTGCCTTATCGTCACCATGATCCCCGATTACCCTCTTCTTTGACGTCCAACCATATGATCCAGCTCATCCGCTCCCAGCGGCGCATTGCACCTGCTGCAGGGACGTCACATGTAGTACCGGGTTTCCCCCGTCAAACTTCCACCCCCGCTCTATATGCCCCAGTTCTTGGTGCCCCCTCCTCGTCGCCGGCTCTCAAAAGCGACCGCGATGAGCCTTCCTGTCGCATGCATAATCCCCGCCGTTCAAAGAGAGGAGAGAGACCACATCACCGCCGCGTGTTGTCGTCATCTGTTCCCATCTATCACCGCCTAACATCGCCATCACCTGCTTCGATTCATTGTACTAGGCACACGAAAAGCCGTCCCACCTCCGATATACACGTGTAGGTCGACGATCTTCATTATCGATTCCATGACGCGCCCTCCAGACGAGTCCAGCAGTTGATGACACCACCGCCGCCGCCCACTTGGTCCCCGTCCAGACAGAACGGGACTATCAATCAGAAAGAGAAGCGGACTATGTTCGTTATCCAAATGAACGGTCCCTCTTTTGCCTTCGACGCGTACTTGGTATCCACTGTCTCCACTGTCTGTGTGACACTTGCCTGCGGCCCTATCTATCCTTGCTGCCGGAACTCTTACTTAATCAAGACACATGTGCGACGAGGGGGAGACCAAGTGGCGCAAATATGAACCACAGCCCTACATCCTTTCCCCGCCCAAGTAAAACCACCCAGCAGCCGATGGCCTAAACCCGCTCGATTACTCGTTCATATCCCTCCCGCCTGGACAGACCAGACAAGCTCTTCCTTGGGTGCCTCATCCCCTTTTTCTAATGAGAAAGAGCTCTTCTTTCACGCCAGCCTACGAAGCAAACCCCGGGCGAAGGGAGCCGGAAATCCCTCGTCCGCTTAATTAGTAACACGTTCTCGCTCAACACCAGCTTTCGCCGCCGCCACCATCCGAACAACGTTCAACAACCGCAACTCGTTACTGACTGCAGTCTCGCCGTCGATTCAAAAGCGATCCTTGCGAGCGACCGACCCATATATAAGCACAATTATTCCTCTGACTCCATTTGCTACGTGGCCACCTCAATTCGTTTGCCACGTGGCGGAGAAGAGTTGAGTATATTTGCTGCCAAGAGGCAGCAAAACCTATTCGGGTATTACACAACGAAGGCCTCTACGCATACGGCAACGAAGCCAAAGAAAAAGAGTACACGATGACAAAATTCGCCTAATTCTGATTAAGACGATGACGACGACGACAATGATCACGATGTGCATACAAGGATGGATGTGTGATGAGGATCGTTTGACGACGGTCAGAGGCAAGCGGTGAATGAATGCATGAAAATCCTTCGTCACCGGTGGATTGACCGAGGAGACGGGGAACAGCCATACGCGTTGGGGGGGGAG